ACCAGAGGGCTCCTTGGAAGCCAGCATGGCCAGGCTTTGTCTCTCATTCTTCAGACAAAACGTTAGTAGGAACTAGTCCCTGGAGAAGGATATCGTGTTGGTAAAGTAGAGTGTCAGAGAAAAATAGGAAGACCCTTAATGAGATAGATTGGTACAGTGGTAGCAGCGATGGGCTCAGGTGTAGCAATGATTGTGAGGTTGACCCAGGACCAGGCAGTGTTTCCTTCTGTAGTGCATAAGGTCGCTTTGTGTCGGTGTTGACTTGATGGTACCTGACAACAACAATAATGCCTAGGATATAGATATTTATGTGTTCCATTTCGTTTATGATCATTTCCAAATTTTCTAGATTCATACTTCATGCAGTCCATGTTCTGGTTATTAAAGGATGTTTACAGCTGGTTCTCTTCATTTTGATTTGTACCCCATCAGAAAATGAAGGTCCTAAAGGCTTCATTCCATTCGTGTCATCAACTCTACTTTGAGGAGGCAGCTCTTCACCAGTCATCTTTTGAGTGCCTTCCAACCCGTGAGGCTCATCTTCTGGCACTATATCTGAAAATATTCTGGTGCTCTTCATCATGTTTCAGTATTCAATATTCTGATGCTGACAATATTACACTGCTATTCATAAGGTTTCAGTGACTAAATATTTGGAAATAGCCTGTCTTTTCTTCTTCCTAGTCTGCATTTGTCATCTACTGTGGGTGGCCAAACTGGTATTTAGAATAACTGTGGCCTAGCTTTTAGAATATTAGATTGGTTGAAAGTAAAAGCCTGGAAAACCTAACCCTTGCATACAGCACAATCAATAAGACAGATATCACAAGTGTGGTCCAGCATGTGGAGACACAGAAAACCTTATGCATTACTAGGTATGACATGGAACTGTCCTGCCATTTTAGAAGATAATTAGTTTCTTAAAAAGCTAAACATTAGCCTACCATAAACCCATTGTTATCATGCTGATTCCAACACACAGCAACCCTCTAGAAGGGTCAAACTGTACCATAGGGTTTCCAAGACTATAATCTTTATGGAAGATGATGGTCACATCTTCCTCCTTGCACAGTGGATGGTGGGTTCAAACCACCAACCTTTTGACTAGCAGCCACACACTTTAACCACTGCCCCACCAGGACTCCTAAAACTACTGTTGTTGCTGTTGGAGGAGGATATTGAAAGTACCATGGATTGCCAAAAGAACAAACAGATCTGTGTTTGAAGAAGCACAACAAGAATGCTCCCTAGAAACCAAGATGGCGAGACTTCATCTCTCATACTTTGGACATATTATCAGGTGGGACCAGTTCCTGGAGAAGGACATCATGCTTGGTAAAACAGAGGGTCAGTGAAACTAGGAAGACCCCCAATGAGATGGATTGGCACAACGGCAGAAGCAATGGGCTCAAGAATAGCAATGATTGTGAGATTGGCGTAGGACCAACAGTGTTTCATTCTTTGTTCATAGAGTGAAAGTCGACTGGATGCCACCTAACACTGCTAGCTGAGATGATATCTCATTGTTTAAATTTGCAGCTTTGGTAGCATAGTGGTTACGAACTGGGCTGCTAATCTCACAGTCAACAGTTTGAAACTGCCAGCTGTTCTGTGGGAGAAAGATGAGGCTTTCTGCGCCCGTAAAGATTTATAGCCTCAGAAACCCTATGCAGGGTCAGTATGAGTCAGAACCGACTCCACGGCACATAACAACAACAAGAACATAACGGCAAATGATTAGAAACATTTCTTCATATGTTTATTGGCCACCTCAAGACTTTCTTTGGTGAAGTGTCCCTTCATGTTCTCTTTTCATTTTTTTATTGGTTTGTTTTTGTCTTGTAGAGATGTTGTAGTTTTCTATAAACTTAAGGAATTCGTCTCTTGTCTGACAAGTCATTGCAAAAATTTCCCCATAATCTGTGTGATTTGTTATCACTCTTTTGGTAAAATCTTTTAATGCACATAAGTGTCTAACTGTTAGGAAGTCCAGTCATCTATTTTGTCTTCTTTTTTGTCTGTCTTTTCTTTCTTTCCCCCCCCAGAAACATCTGTCTTTGTGTGCTTTCACTCATGTTTGATAGTATGTTTATGCCATGTACCAGAACCCCTAAATTTATCGCTATTTTTTTCATTGGTGCTATTTATAGTTTTAGGCTTTCCATGTAGGTCTTTAATTAATATTGTTAGTTTTGTATATAGTGTGAGAGACTGGTTTTGTTTCATTTTACTGTATATAGATTTCCAGTTTTGCCGGCATCGTTTGTTGAAGAAACTATCTCTTCCCCGTTTAGTGTGTTTAGGTCCTCTGCCAAAGACAAGTGATTGCATGCGGTGGATTTACTTCTGTGTTCTCCATTATGTTCCACTGACCGACGTGTCTTTCACTGTACCAGTACCATGCTATTTTGACCATTGTGGCTGTGTAGTAGGTTGTGAGATCAGGAAGTGAGAGGGTTCATTTGTTTTATTGACTTGTGGATTCAAGACTGTTGATTGTGTGTCTAAATAAAATGAAATCCTTGGCAAGTTGTATTGAGGTGCAACAAACGCTGAAATTAGTTCAATATTTTGTTGAAACTGATCAATATTTAAAGGTCGGAGCAGAATCTGGCAAAGGACTGCTGTGTTGGAACCACTGACCTTTCAGCTAGCAGCTTAGAGCTTAAACCAAAGACACCAGGACTCCCAAAGCTATAGCGATGCTAAAAGCTAAAGTCAGTTTAAGCAGAAATCCATCTCTCCGAAGGGGTTGATTGTGCACAGGCTGTCGTCTGAATCATCATGGAAAAGATGACTCACTCAGGGACCTCTCAGTTTAGCTGCCAGGCCCTGCCCATGGGGCATGCGGGCTCCCTCTCCTCCCCTCTAGTGGAAGTGACAGGTCTGGAATCCCAGTCCCCAGCCACTTTTAGCACCCTGACCTACTGACTGGAGTCAGTTCAGGACTCAGCCCCATGGGGCTACCTACCTCAGGTTGGGTAATTGCTCTCAAGGGCTGATCACTAGATAAGGTGTCTGCTGGAAGGGATGGCAGCCGGTTAAAAGTCCACAGCAAACCAAAGGAGGCACCAAGAAACAGGACACACACCTTCAGACACAGGTCACATCTCACCTTTGCTACCTGAGTAAGATATTATGGATCTCCCATGTCAATGTGGCATTGTGTTAAGAAAAAAATGATTAGAATGTGTCCTTATACTAAGAGTAAACAAGTAATAGGGAATAACAGGTGTCTGTCTATCTGTCCATCCCTGGTCTTTTGGACCATCTGTTCAAAATTTGCTTTTGATGTTTCTGGGGGGAAAAGAAAGCTTTGTTTTTACCCTGGCATATTTTATTGTGGGAAAAAAAATTATCCTAAAATTGCTTTGCTTATGTCTTTTGTCATTTGAAACTAAAGTGCTGGGACCTGCCGCCACATATCTGCTAATTGTGCTGAGTATTCTGGGCAGCTGATCTATTGTTGACTAATCTTTGCAATTGATCTCATTGTCCTGAGTAACCTGGGTAAGAGGGAACCACCTAGGGCACCACAACCTCCAAAGTAGGTGGGAGGTTGCTGACTCAACAGGGACCAGTTACCAAGTCTTCAGTGAATTTGCTGCAGGAGGCCAGAAGGGTCCGAGTGGCTGAGGCTCCTGCGGACCTGCAGGTAGATCTACAGGCAGGAGGGTCTCAGTCTTGGGGGGTTGAGCCCAGAGGTGTGTGTGTGGGCATTGCTGTAGCATGTAGAGGGTCTTGGTGGATGCTAGGGAATCTCATGGCTTGTGGCCACTGGTGGGACCTGGAAGGGACCTTCAGAAGCTGAGCCCTCAGGTGATCCCCGTCCTGCTTCTCATGGCTCTCTTTCTGCTGACCTGAGAGGGCTGTGCTGCCTCTGCTGTTGTGCAGGCACACAGAAAGGCTTCTGGGATTAACTAACCAACAGTCCAAATGGTCAGAAATGCCAGAACTTTCCCACTCTTGAGCTCTCTAGATGGCACTGAACACACACTCCTGTGTGTGTGCAGTATCCTATCTGCATTACACTGTGGAGGAGACAAGTGCTCAAAAGGTGCACATGTGGTGGGTATCATGCCTACCAAAAAAGCATCCTAGGAGAGACTGTGAACTCTCCTAACCCCACTGGATTTTGCAATGCCGCCAGCATAGCGAATTCACTGACAATGGTGAATCTGGCTGCTCCCTAAGTGGCTGTTCTAAGAGCTGGATTAGAGGTCCGGGGGTACCTGCACTGGTGGGGAGGTTATGGAGCTGTGCTGAAGTTTGGCATGTGCCCATTTCTGCTGCTTCTGGCCCTCAACAACCTGGTGCTTCCTGAAGAATTGGGCTACCCATTAGCCGAGGAGAAAAAGGATGAAGTTGAAACTGGGGTCTGCCAGTGGGATCAGTTGTTCCATACAAACTGGAGGTATTCCTCTCATTGGGAGTCTGCCATTTATTGAGGAGCAGCCTAAAGGGGCTGAGGCAGGCAGGAGCTGGACTTGACCATCCCTCCTCACCCTGAAGCTGTGTCTGCCTGAGAGAGTAGCGTCCGAGGTGCCCCTGCTGCACTCCAGGTGCTCCCTCATGGCATGGAGAGACCTGACACAGAGCTTGGTGCCTGGGTTGGCCAGGGTTGAGTCCTGGGAATGGACAGGCAGGCTGAGACCAGTGAGTCTCTGGATTAGGAAGGAAATGATCTAAGTTAAAGTGAATGAAAACTCTTTCTGTGCTCACTATGTAAGTGATTGTGTAACACCAGGGACAAACCTGTTGGCTACAAATTGGGGGTGGGGAGATCTGTCATTAGACCCAGGTGGGGCTACTTGGGAGAGTCTAGGGTGAAAGCTAATTCACTGACTGTCCAAGGACAAAGGAACACATGGATATCTTAGTTGTGTACTTTGTGGGTGAAGCTGCCAGCAAGCCCTAGTGGGGTGTGAGCATTGTTGAAGATCATGATACCCACTGTCTTGTCCTCCTCTCTACCAAGGGACCCCAAGAGACTCACCCAGATGTCAGCAGGCAACCACACTGCTGTAGTGGAATTCATCTTGCAGGGCTTCTCAGAAGACCCCCAGCTCCGGGGCCTGCTCTTTGTCCTTTTCCTCCTCCTCTACCTGACAGCTTTGGTGGGAAATGGCCTCATCATTGCGGTTGTCATTCTGAGCCCAGGCCTGCACATTCCCATGTACTTCTTTCTCATTATCTTGGCCATTTTGGACATCATGTGCACATCCACTGTTCTCCCCAAGCTTCTGGAGAACCTGGTGGTACAGGTGGACACCATCTCCTACAATGGCTGCTTGACACAACTCTTCTTCCTGACCTGGTTTGTGGGTTCCGAGCTGTTGTTGCTCACATCCATGGCCTTTGACCGCTATGTGGCCATCTGCCAGCCACTGCGGTATGGCACCATCATGAGTTGGCCACTGTGTGCACTGCTGGCCACGGCTGTGTGGACATTCAGTGCGGTCAATGCATCAGTGCATACAGGCCTCATGGCACAGCTGAATTTCTGTGGCCCCAACCACATCCAACGCTTCTTGTGTGAAGCTCCCTCGCTGCTGCCACTGTCTTGCAGCTCCACGGCACTCAACAATTTTGTAACTATCATAGCTGATGTGTATTTTGGTGTGGTCAACTTCCTGCTCACCGTGACCTCGTATGGCTACATTGTGGCCAGCATCCTGCGCATCCGCTCAGCCTCCGGAAAGCGCCGAGCCTTCTCCACCTGCTCCTCCCACCTTCTGGTGGTCACCTTGTACTACTCCACTGTCATCTACACCTACTTCTCTGGAGCCTCTGTGGAGAATGGGAACGTGGTGGCTGTACTGTACACAGCAGTCAGCCCTGCTCTGAACCCGCTCATCTACACGCTGCGGAACAAAGATGTGAAAGCTGCCTTCCAGAAAGTGGCTCCAAGCTCCTGGTGAGGAAAGACAATGACCATGTGAATTCTTCCAGTGTGAGTTCCATTAATTTCAAATTATGACTTTGAAATCCTAAGCAAGAGGCAAGGAATAGGAAGGTCACACATGGGATAGATATATAAACAAGGAGCTTCCCTGTTGGAAGTTGTCAAGTGTTCTGCTTGGAATATTAGCAAATCCTGACCATGCGGACCCAGCAGGAAGGCTTTCTGTTCAGGGCATCACTGTCACTTCTTTTAGTGTGGGGTCCAGGTTTGGGCTTGATGACCCCTAAGCACATTGCTTACTGTGCTCCACTGTAGGGACATCTCAATCTCCTGCTGTGAAAACCTCACCAAGCCAGACCTGGTTCTCTGACCTAGCTCTCTTGGTGTGTATGGGCCCAGAAAACCCAGTAATGGTGGCTTCTCACCATATCAGTTAGTTCCTGGCCCCACAAGGCAGAGATGGGGAGACCTGTGTCACCCAGCCTCCACTCAAAAGACCTTCAGAAAAGAGGTGTAGTTCTAATCTTTTTCCTTTCTATAAAAGGCATCATTGTTCTTCACTAGGAAGATTTATCATAGCAAGAAAGAGTTGCCTTTTGTCTTTAGTTTTACAAGTCTTAATGTTTTCATGAGTCAGTTCTTTATCAGTCTCTTTTTGACTATTATCATTTGTTTAATTCTATTTCTACCTTCTGAAGGCTGATGTTCTTCACTGCCTTGCACAGTTCTTTTCCCTTCTCTCAGTAACTTAATTTGTACCCCTGTTATATTTATTTATCTCCACATCCCATTATTTAACTTGAACATCTTCACATCCATTACTTCTTCCATCTCTAGCATGTGGTGCCATAATGCTTTACTGGGTGACATGACACCTTCTATCTGGTCTTCCTAAATCTGTTCCTACTATTGACCACCAAGACTGGTTGTACCTTGTGTCCAGAGCTATACCTTTCACATTTTATTATGCAAGGTTTAAAAAACAATAGAATGTTACATTGCATGTACAAAGTTGAAAGAATTTACCGTGAAAACCTTTGTATCCAGTATTGACTTTTTTCTGCATTAGTTACTCATCTTTTCATCCATCTATTCATCTTGTATTTTATGTATTTCAAAGCAAGTTACAAGACCAGTCCACTTCATAAAAACTTCAGCATACTATCATTTTTTAGGGTTCAACATTTGTTAGCAGTTTTTCCCCTTTGAAGTAAAAGTTTCAAACAAGGAATATTATCAATAGCGGTGTACATTTGCTGGGTTCTGACATGTGCATTCAGCTGTGACCCAAGCCTCTATCAATATACAGAACATGACAATCATCCTATAAAGTTCTCTTTTCAAGTCAGCCCTCACCTCACCTCCTCAGGACACATCACTCTACTGATGTTTCCACAATACATCAATTTTTGATTCTATAGAATTTCATATAAATGGAGTCAATATATTTATGCTTGTGTCTGGCTCTCTTCTTTCACTCTGCATGGTATTTTTGAGATCCACTAATATTGCAGCTTGTATGAGTAGTGTGTTTCTTTTTATTTTGATTGATGTTCTATTAGTCAAAACACTATGATGCATTTTTATTTATCTACATGTCTATTGGTGGACATTTGTATTGTTTCTAACTTTTGACTATTGTAAATAAAGCTTCTCTAAACATTTGCGTCCACCATTTGTGCGTCACTTGAATTTATTGCTATAGTCCAAAGCTTAACCAGTTTGCCATACTGTGGTCACTTGCATATTGTTGCAATTCTGGAAGATATGACACCAGTATTTGAAATAACAGAAAGTATTGATTCATTGGTAATTATTTGTGATTTCAATGAAAAAGTTGGAAAGCAGGATGAAGATTGGTAGGAAATATGGCCTTGGTGATAGAGATGGTGCTGGAGATCTCATGGTAGAATTTGGTAAGAATAACAGCTTATTCATTGCAAATGCCTTTGTCTAGCAACATAAACAACAATTATACACATGGATAGAGTCCTGTTGTGGCAATGTAAGATGCTAACTGAAAGGTCAGCTGTTCAAACCCACCAGCCACTCCTCAGACACCCTGTACAGGGTCTTTGAGTCAGAACTGACTAGATGGCACATAAACAGCAATCACATACACAAGGACCTCACCTCACCGGATAGAACACACAGGAATCAAATTGGCCACATCTCTAGGAAGAGATGGTGTAGCTCAATACTATCAGTTAGAACAAGATCAGGGCCCAATTGCAAAGCAGACCATTAATTGCCCATATGCAAATTCAAGTAGAAGGTGAGTGAAATTAAAACTAATTCATGAGAGCCAAAGTACAATCTTGAGTATATTCTACCTGAATGTAGATATCAGCTTATCAATAGATTTGATGTATTGAATACTAATGCTGAAGACCTGATGAGTTGTAGTATGACATCAAGAAGATTATACATGAAGAAAACAGAAGGTCACTAAACAGAGAGGAAAAGAAAGAAAAGACCAAATAGATGTGAGAAGAGACTCTACAACTTGCTCTTAATAGAGAAAATGGAAGAAATGAGGAAGTAAAAGAGCAGAATTGAAGAATTCAAAGAGTGGCTTGAGAAATAAAGTAAAGAATTTAGCAAAGACCTAGAGTTAAAATACCCTAAGAGAGGAATATGCTTGGCATTTCTCAGGTTGAAATAATTGAAGACAAATTTTCAGCCTAGAGTTGCAATATTGATGAATTATATGTGCAAATTCTTAAACGAATTAGGAAGCATCAAAAAAAAAAAAAAAGATAAAAGTAATGCACAGACAAAAAGAATTGGTCACTCTTCAACCATTTCAGGAGGTAGCATATGATCAAGAACTAACGATATTGAAGGAAGAAGTCCAAGATACATTGAAGGCATTGGTGAAAAGGAAGTCTTCAGGAATTGAAGGAACGCTAGTTGAGATATTTCAACAAATGTATGCAAAGTTGGAAGTGTTCACTTGTCTATGCCAAGAAAGTTAAATGACAGCTACCTGGCCACCCAACAGGAAGAGATCCATGCACCATTCCAAAGAAAGGTGATCCAACATAAAGCAGAAATTATCAAACAAAACCATTACTATCACACACAGAAGAGGATATGGAATGAAGGATACCGTTGTTGATGTCTGATGGAACTTGGTGAAAACTGAGAAAGCCAGAAAGATGTTTGCTTGTATTTTGTTGATTATAAAATGCAAATGCTTGTGTGCATCACAACAAATTATGGATAATCATGCAAAGAATGTACTAATGCAGACTGGTGATGGTTGTGTGCTATCCAGTTTGTTCTGACTCATAATGACCCTGTATAAGGTTTCCAAGCCTGTAAATCTTTTCAAGAGCAGAAATCCTCATCTTTCTCCATTGGAGCAGCTGATAGATTTGAATTGATCTTGTGACCTTGCGGTTGGCAGTCCAACTTGTAACCCACTATACAACCAGGGCTCTTTGTACACAGACTTGTTGTTGTTGTTGTTGTTGTTGTTAAGTACCATTGAGTCGATTCTGACTCATAGTGACCCTGCATAGGATTTCCAAGGAGCAGCTGGTAATCTTGAACCACCAACCTTGCAGTTCAAACGGCTTTGCAATCTGATGCATTAACCTACAGAGCCACACCAGGACTCCTGGTACACAGACTAGGAGACAGTTATTTGAACAGATCTAAGGGATACTGTGTGGTTTAAAATTATAAAAGTTGTGTGTCAGGGCTATATCCTTTCACCATACTTAATCAATATGTATTATGAGCAAACCAATCCAAGATTCTGGACTATATGAAGAAGAATTTAGCATCAGGACTGGAGAAAAACTCACTAACAACCTGCAATATGCAGATAACACAATCTTGCTTGCTGAAAGTGAAGAACTTATTAATGAAGATCACTGGTTGCAGTAGTCAGCATGGACAACGCGTCAATACAAAGAAAATGACAATCTTCACAACTGGTACAAGAAACAACAACATGATAAATGAAGAAAATATTACGTTTCAAGGATTTTACTTGAATCATGGGTCTACCATCAATGCCCCAGGAAGCAATAGCTAAGAAATCTGCTACAAAAGGTTTCTTTAAAGTGTTAAAAAGCAAAGATCTCATTTTGAGAACTAAGATGCACCTAATCCAAGCTATGATAAATTTAATCTCCTCAAAAACATGAGAGAGCTGGACAATGTATGAGGAATGCAGAAAACACTTGATGTCTTTGAATTATGGTGTTGACTGAAAATATCAAATATACCATGGGCTGCCAGTTGCTGTTAAGTGCCGCTGAGTTGGCTCCTATTCATAGTGACCAACAGAATGAAACACTGCCTGGTCCTACGTCATCCTCATAACTCTTGTTACACTTGATCCCATTGCTGCTGCCACTATTAATCCATCACCTTGTATATATTCCTCTTTTTCGCTGACCCTCCAATTTGCCTAGCATGATGTCCTCTGCAAAGACTGGCCCCTCCTGATAATTCGTCTGAAGTAGGAGAAGAAATCTTGCCATCCTGGCTTCTATGAAGCATTCTGGCTTTCTTCAGCTTCAGCCTGAACTTGCATATGAGCAATTGATGGTCTATTCTACTATCTTCCCCTAGCCTTTGCTTTGGCTGATGATATGGAGCTTTTCCACTATAGTCAATTTGGTTTCTGTGTATGTCATCTGGTGAGGTGATGTGGATTTTGTTTTCTTTACACTGAGATGCAACCCATATTGAAGACTGTGATCTTTGATCTTCACCAGTAAGATTTTTAAGTTCTTTTAGCAAACCTACCATTATGATAAGTAATTCTATTTCTAGGAATCCATTCAAGAAAAATAGATCCAAGAGAAATGGAAACATACCTTTCAACAAAGACTCTCATACTAATTTTCATAAAAGCAATAAAAAGCAAAAAGTAGAAATAAGTCAGATGTCTATCAGCTCTTGAATGAGCAAATACGATGTGACATATTCATATAATGGAATGCACAGAAATAAAAAAGCAAACTATGGACAAATGCTACCACATGAAGCACAAAC